CGGACAAAGATCTGCCCCTCCACCGAGCGCCTCCATGTCGGCAAGACGCCCCGCAAGAAGGCCATCTCGGTCGCCATGACGAAATACGAGGAGGTCGCCGACACCTTTGACAACGTCAAGCTCCGGTGGCGTTTCTCGTCAGAGAGCAAGAAGGTGGGCAAGAAAAACAAGAATGTTGAGAAGCGCTTCTTTGAGCTCACGTTCAGCAAGAGGCACAAAGACAAGGTTTTGAACTCTTACTTGCCCTTTGTGCTTGCTCGAGCCGAAGCCATCAAGGACGAGCAAAAGGTTGTCAAGCTTTACACCCGCCATCTCTGGCCAAGCAGCAGCCACGACGACGACGACGACGAGGAGGAAGGCAATTCTTACTGGGGCTCGGTGAAACTGGAGCACCCATCTACATTTGAGACAATGGCCATGGAGCCGGAGCTTAAGAGAGCCATTGTAGAGGACATGGACAGGTTTGTGAGGAGGAGGGAGTTTTATAAGAAGGTGGGGAAGGCTTGGAAGAGAGGCTACTTGTTGTATGGCCCTCCTGGTACTGGTAAATCGAGCTTGATTGCGGCCATGGCTAACTATCTCAAGTTTAACTTGTATGATTTGGAGCTTGCAAGTATTTACAGCGACTCTCATTTGAGGAGGGTGCTGCTGTCCACCACAAATCGTTCTATTTTGGTAATCGAGGATATTGATTGCTGCGGAGTAGATGCTAGAAACAGGGCAGCGGATTCGAAATCGAAATCGGATTCTGAAGACAGGGTTAGTACCTGTTTTCTGTGTGTTTTTATTTTTATTTACCTGTATCTTATTTTGATGATCATAGGTTCAATCTTTTACTATATGTAAGGCTAAGTTACAATTTTGATTCCACATCCACTAGTTCGAAGTTTGAACCATATTCCACTCAAGTCCTTTTAGTTTTATTTTGACAGTTTTATTTCATATGTGATTTGGACATTTGTCCTGCTAAAAAAATTAGATTTTTACGTGGCCTCATGATCTAATTGCAGGCGACACTATCAGGCCTCCTGAACTTCATAGATGGTTTGTGGTCAAGCTGTGGTGATGAGAGAATTATTGTGTTCACCACAAACCACAGGGATCTGCTTGACCCTGCATTGCTGCCTCCTGGTCGAATGGATGTCCACATTCACCTGTCCTATTGCACAGCAAGTGGGTTCAGGATCTTGGCCTCTAACTACCTTGGCATTGCCGTTGACAACCGTCACCGCCTCTGCGGAGAAATTGAAGGATTGATAGCGAGCACAGAGGTGACCCCTGCAGAGGTTGCCGAGGAGCTCATGAAGAGTGATGATGCTGATTTTGCTCTTCAAGGACTTGTCAATTTGCTCAAGTGGAAGAATGCCGTGGCAGAGAGAAAGAAACTTGCCAATCAAGAAGCCACGGCGCAGGAAACAAAGAAAATTGCCAATCAAGAAGCCACGGAGCAGGAAACAAAGATAATTGCCAATCAAGAAGCAACGGGGCAGGAAATGGATAACAAAGTTGCTGAGGTTCCATTCCATCTACCGGAACTACACATTCTGATGCATGATGATGGCCTCCCATCTCCTAGTTTATGTTTCAAAATCAGATTAAAACCCTCCTAGTTTATGTTTTAAAATTAGATAAACCCCGCTTTTAGATCATCTTAGCTTTCAAGCTCTCTCTTACGTACGATATCTTATCTGATGTAACCTACTTGCTGAACTTGGTTTTATGAACTCTATGAATGAAAACAATGGGAAGTTATATCTACGTCACATAGAAGAAGAAAAATTACTATACATTAATTTATGTTGGTTCTTAGGCCTAGCTAGAAAGCAATCCGTGTCAAAGTTCACAGCAAGAATGAGCTCCATTAAAGTTTGAGAGAGCCAAATCCAGGAAATGTCCAAGACTGGGCCAGACTTTTCAGTCTCCTCTCTCTCTCTCTCTCTCTCTCTAATGAGGGAACTTGCTGCAGCAGAGTCAAACCTTAACATAGTGTCTTCATGCAATTCAAACCATGGTATGCTTGTACAGCAAGTCTTTTGCTATATATATGCAGATGAAATTAATTACTAAAAACCAATTACCAATCCTCCTTCTAGCAACAAAACGAGTACATAAAACTGCTCTCTGAAACAGATAGATTCTTGCAAAATAAAACAAACTATAATTGAATGAACATACACTCCACCAGAAATGACTCTTAAGGCATGCATACATTGTGCACTGTAAAAAATCATTTTTTATGGCGCGCATTCAACGCAAGCCGTGAAGAGTGATGATGCTGATGTTGCTCTTCAAGGACTTGTCGAGCAACAAAGTGGTGGATGAATTCATTGAAGGGACTGAGAGAATATATCTATGTCACATACAGGAAGAAGAATTAATATTACATTAATTCATGTTGGTTCTTAGGCCTAACTAGCAATCAATCCGGGTCAAAGTTTGAGAAACTCCAATAGGTGTGGTCCAACTCGCAACTCCAATCTCTCTCCCTAATGAGGAAACTTACAGCTATCTTTTTCTATTTCATTGTCTTCATGCAATTCAAAAGGTATATATCATGCTTTTTCTATTTTTCAGGAAACGCAGATTATTGTATGCTCAAATTCTTCTTTTAGCACCAAAAGACTACTCTCAACAAGGCCAGTCATCTCTCATCACTAACTTTTCATAAATTTTCTTAATCTAATTTTTAGTCAACATTTAACTCGACCTTCGATTCAATAAATATGTTATTATCCTTGATTTATTTTAGGTTAGATGATTTAACTTTATAATTAACGTGGTGACCAGAGAGTTTTTTTAATTATTTTAGGTTCCAAAATTCAAAGCAATTAAATATAAATGTTAAAAATAAGGGATTTGACAAGTAAAATAGATGGTAAGTACTTAATAAATAAAAAAAATAGATGGTAAGTATGAACCAACACAGAGAAACTTATTGTTGGACTTGGGTTCTGAACAACTCAAGCATGAAAATGCAGGGAGACTAGGAAAGTGAGGTAAAGGGTTTCTTTAAAATGAGCTTCAGATACGTAATTAACTAAACCGGTTAGCTTTTGTCTACTTTTTTTATATTTGGACATAACTTTGCGTGTTATTTTGGCATCCAGTTCGAATTTGGACTAGTAATCCATATGTTGCTTATATGTTTTAGTTCATTTTATCTTAGTTTATAGCTGCTTTGTTTTTTTTTCAGTTGTTGTTTTTTTCAATATAAACGATAGTCTAAACTAATACACATAATTAAAATATCATGAGAATTCGAACACGAAACTTCTAATATGCAAATCAAAGCAACTTTTTATCAGAATAGGCCCTTTACCTTTTTGTACATAGTACGTCTTCATGGGGTTTGAATTATTCGGAGAAATTTATACATATCATGCGTTGCCGAGTCAATAACGTTGGATGCTTGCTTGTGATTGGTCAAATTAACAACATTGCTGTCTAAAGTAAATGATTGAAAGCATCAAATCCATCAAATCAAACATGGATGGTGTGCATGCAGTAGGCTTCTTCCTCGCTCTTGCTATGCAATTGTGACTGTGGTTGCACTTGCTATATGAACTTCCTTACCGAGTAAGCATCAACCCCAATATACATATCTTTTAGCAAAAAGTTGAAAGCTTTGCTCTCCCCTCCTGTGAAAACAGAGAGAAACTACTAGGAAATCAAGCATTCATGGTCAATAAAAAATAGTTTATTGCCACTACATACGTCATATTGAATAATAGTTTTCTGCTTACACTAGTGAAAAAAACAGGACGACACATACCACGCGTGCTTTGCCCACAAAAAGAAAAAGAAAGAAAGCATTAGTGTTGTCTCATCAACTTTGGCGCTTATAAAAAAGTCGGTGTGTATTTACTTTTCAACAGGCCATTAGCATTATGTCTGATAAGTTTAATGGCTTGTTGTATCCATTTTTCTCCATGCTGCTTTATACAATTTGACCCAAAAAAAAGAGCTTTTTACAAAATTGAAAAAGAAATATTTGTATATGGGGAGAAAAATAATCAATTATTGGGATCATACTTTTTACAATAAGCATTATAACTTTACAACAACATTAATATAGAACGAAAATGATGAAATATCTACTTATATTATAATACGTATTGTATATACCGTACTCGATACTTTAGGTAGCCTTTTTTTTTTTTTTTTTTTTTAAAGTGCCGAAAGGAAGGTAATGTTTGACTAGGACGCTACAGATAAGACTAGTGATGGAAAAGAAATATCATATCCTACTCAGATTGCTAAGAGAAAAAGGAGGGACTTGGTCAACAGAACGACAACAAGAAACTCCTAAGCAACTTCTCAAGCACCAACTCAATTATTATATATATAATATACTAGGAGTTTTTATCGAGAGATCTCTCAAATTAACTTATTTAAAGAACACTCTTGTAAGGTTTATTCCGTATTGTATTTCACAAATCCAAATTATCTATTTTGTATATACTCATTCAAAGATCATTTTTACAAAAAAATTACTTGAATTTGATATCATTTGACCACTCAATTAAATTATTGAAATTTTAGCACTTTCTTAAAGCATCGTATTCATTGATTTGTAAGACATAATTAAATGTCTAAATAATTTCCGATTTGTCTATTTTTTTGTAAGGATGATCTCAAATAAAATTATTTGAGAAATCCCTCAATAGAATGAGATTATATATATATATATATATATATAAACTTATTTGAAAGATCCCTCAACCAAAGCTTACTGTATATATAATATATATATATATATACACATAAAACTTTTTAGATAAAGATCAAAGAGAAATCCTATTACTTTCTTGAAGCACCTTTGTAGGACACAATTGGATATCGAAACGGTTTTAAATTTATTTAATTTTTTTGTAAAAATGATATATAAATGTATATTTGAAAAATAAATTGTTTGGATCGTTGAAAATAAATTTATAGTGGACACGAAAAGGTGTTCCTCAACAAAAATTATTTGGGGAAGAAAGGGTCTATACGTATATATATCCTCTCCTTGTTCTCTCAACCTTTACGGCCTTCCTTCCTTTCCCTTGCTTGCAGCATATCCATCCATAATGATTTTCATCGTGGAACAACTCATGCTCTTCATTTCTACTGCCCTCAGTTACCTTTCTACACTTTTCTCCCCTCATCCTCGCCAATGCCATGACCTTACTCTCATCATCCACCAGACCAACGCCCCACCCAACCAGGTCTACGAAGCGGCCCAACTCTACCTCCCCACCATTGACTTGATCAATCCCTCCACCCGAACCATCCAAGTCAGCAAAACGCCTCGCCAAGAAACCGTCAAGCTTGCCATCAACAGCGGTGAGCAGATCGCCGACACCTTTGAGGACATTAACCTCAACTGGCTCTACGTGGTCCAAACATTCCCGAGCGGCCAGGTAACACGTCACTTCGAGCTAAACTTCCACAAGAAACACAAGGACAAAGTCCTGACCTCCTACTTGCGCCATGTGGTTACTCGGGCTGAAGCCATTAAAAAAGAGGAAAAGATGCTCAAACTTCGCAGCGTTAACTCACCATCACGAGTGGATCTGGAGCACCCAGCCACGTTCGAGACGATCGCCATGGAGCCCGACCAGAAGACAAAGATTGTCAAGGACTTGGACAGATTTGTGAGGAGGAGGGAGTTTTATAAGAAGGTGGGGAAGGCCTGGAAAAGAGGCTACTTGTTGTATGGCCCTCCTGGCACTGGCAAGTCGAGCTTGATTGCAGCCATGGCTAATCATCTCAAGTTTGACGTGTATGAATTGGAGCTCGACGGTATTTGCAGTGACTCTCAGTTGAAGAGAGTGTTGCTGTCCACTAAAAATCGTTCTATTTTGGTGATTGAGGATATTGATTGCACCGTCCGCGACATGCAAAACCGGAAATCGGAGCAGCCCACGGTTAGTACATACTCTTTTTTTATATGTAGATTTTTTTTGGGCGTTCACATAGTGTTCTGTTGATATTTGCAGTTCACACTCTCAGGCCTGCTAAACTTCATGGATGGTCTGTGGTCAAGCTGCGGTGACGAGAGAATTATTGTGTTCACAACAAATCACAAGGATCGGCTTGAGCCTGCACTGTTGCGTCCTGGTCGAATGGACGTCCACATTCACATGTCCTATTGCACTCCACATGCGTTTAAGGTCTTGGCCTCCAACTACCTTGGCATTCAAGACTTGAATCATCATGGCCTTTACGGAGAAATCGCAGGCTTGCTAGAGAGCACAGAGGTCACCCCTGCTGAGGTCTGTGAGCAACTGTTGAAGAGAGATGATGATGTTGACGACGATGATGCTGATGCTGCTCTTGCTGGACTTGTCAACTTTCTCAAACTCAAGAAGCTTGAAGAGACTAATAATATTGATAAACCAGAAACTCAAGAAGGATCTCAATGTTAAAGATGTTGATGGTGACAACTCGTCCACCTAGCATGAGCTAGGGCAGTAGAATAAGTTGGTGTCGTATGTCCCATCTGATTATGAAGTAATTTATGGTTATATTCAGACTCTTCCCTTTTTTTCTTTCTTAATTATAGCCTACCTACTACCAAAGTAGATAAATTATGTGGAAAAAGACATGCAAACAGAGACCTTGACTTTTGGTCAACAAGGAAGGCAAAGAGAAGCGACCACCAGCATTTGATGGAAATTTCTATTAACAAGTCTCGTTGACTTAGGGTCCCTTTTTGGGGTTGACACGTAATTGTGAGCATAAACATAGTTACCATGTTGCATTTTCTGAAACGAAATGCATACCAAATGATCTTTCTGAACCTCTTGCTCTGATCAAACATGATCAAATGGTGTGCAGAGAAAATTAACAAAGTGACAAAACCCGAGTAACGTAGTAAGTTTTACATTTTTTCTTACATCCTTAATCAACCAATGCAAATATATTCCATTCCTTATCAGTTGTCCCATTCATATATTTATGAAATACCATATCAGTTTGCAAACATTTTTAGATTTGGTTGAGCTTGAGACATGGTTGTTCAAGGGAATAAGGGGATTGAGAATTGTTGATTTTCAAGTAGGAGTTTGAGACATGGTTGTTCAACCTCACAACTTAATAAGCATATATACTTCCACAATCAACACCACCTCACTCTATCAACACTTGATTTCGTTGAATTAAACTAATCTCTCTTGCATTAAGATACCAAGTTGACAACTCCTAAATTATCTTTTAAGTTTATTGCCTTGCTACCACTTGGTATCGATTCCAAGTTGCTAGGCTAGTTTATTTTCCTAAAATCAGTTTATCAGTCTGTCAAAGGTACTTTGCAACACTCTATAAAATTCATTCGTCTTAGATCAAACATGCTTTTCCACTATGTTATGACCCATTAGCTTCATACTCTCATGTTTCACTCTAGAGTGCAAGTGGCTATTTTTGAAATGAAATAATTAACAACACTTACTGTCTTAATTATATCATAGTTTACTTACCAAAGTGGAGAAGATTTATATTTTTTGTTGTACGTCTTCATAGGGTTTGAATTTTGGTGCAACCCGAAGCTTTTCTGTGTGTTGTTTGATGTGAATGATTGGAAAAGAATGGCAACTCTGTGCGAATTGCTCAAGTTAAAGATCAATCCGGTATGATTGAAAACATCAAATCCATCAAATTAATCATGGTCTGGACTAGGTTCCTTCCTCGCTCTTGCTATCTTCCTAAGTACCAACCCAATGATCTTCTGAGCAAAACAATTGAACGCATCCATCCATGCATGTGCTGGTCTCTATGAAAGCAGAGAGAAACTACCCACCCTTACGTTCAACTTTACATGATGATGAATCATGAATCATTTCCCACTCTCAGTCCTAACACAATCAAATATTTATTGAATATTTATCCAGAGACTTACCTATAAACTAGGTCAGCTAGCACACCCAAAAAAAAAAAAAACACCATGTACAGTTAAAAAAAGACATCTAGCATAAAGAGAAAAAAGAGTTCGTCAACTAAACGACAATAACCTACACAAAACACAATGCACGCGGTTTTGACTGGTGGTGTACTAGTAGACTTCTTTGTCGATCTTGCCATGTGCAATTGTGGCTGTGGTTTCACTAGTACTGTATATGAACTTGCCCCCTAAGTAACAAACCTCAAATATATATCCCCAAATTTGATTAAAAAAATCCCCCAACAAGAACATCTCCTTCTTCTTCTTCTTCTTCTCAACCTCTGCCTTGCTTACCCTGCATCTATCCATCCGCCATGAATTTCATCGTGGAGCAACTCATGCTTTTCATTTCCACTGCCCTCAATTACCTTGCTACCCTTTTCTTCCCTCGCCATTATCACCATGACCTTACTTTCATCATCCGCCAGAACAACACGCCACCCAACCAAGTCTACGACGCCGCCGAGCTGTACCTCCCATCTATTGAGTTGATCAATCCCTCCACTCGTACTATCAGCGTCAGCAAAACACAGCGGCAAGAAGCTGTCAAGCTTGCCATGGAAAGCGGTGAACAAGTCGCCGACGCCTTTGAGGGCATTAACCTCAAGTGGCATTACGTGGTCAAAAACCTCCCGAACTGCTGTATAGAACGTCGCTTTGAGCTGACGTTTCAAAAGGAACACAAAGACAAAGTCATGACCTCCTACTTGGCCTATGTTGTTCGTCGCGCCGAAGCCATTAAACAAGATAGCAAGATTATCAACCTCAGCAACGTTTACTCAAACAACGAAGTCGAGTTCGAGCACCCGGGTACTTTCGAGACCATCGCCATGGAGCCCAGCCTAAAGCAAAAGATTATAAAGGATTTGGAGAGGTTTGTGAGCAGGAGGGAGTTTTATAAGAAGGTGGGCAAGGCTTGGAAAAGAGGCTACTTGTTGTACGGCCCTCCTGGCACTGGAAAATCCAGCTTGATTGCGGCCATGGCTAATTATCTCAAGTTTGATGTGTTTGAATTGGAGCTTGATAGTATTGACAGTGACAGTGAGTTGAAGAGCGCGTTGCTGTACACTACAAATCGTTCCATTTTGGTGATTGAGGATATTGATTGCTCCGTCAATGATGAGGAACGCAGGGTCAGTTTTTTTGTGAATTTTTATTTTTAGAAAAAACACATATATGAGGTTAAGTGCATCTCTTATTTAGGTATTTGATAATTTTTTGAATTTTTGTTATGTTGACATTTGCAGTACACACTCTCGGGCCTACTGAACTTCATGGATGGTCTGTGGTCAAGTTGTGGTGATGAAAGAATTATTGTGTTCACAACAAACCACAAGGATCGGCTTGAGCCTGCATTGCTTCGTCCTGGTCGAATGGACGTCCACATTCACATGTCCTACTGCACTCCGCATGCGTTTAAGGTTTTGGCCTCCAACTACCTTGGTGTTGAGGACTTGGACCGTCATCCCCTTTATGGAGAAATCGCGGGGTTGCTAGAGAGCACAGAGGTCGCCCCTGCTGAGGTTTGTGAGGAGCTATTGGAGAGAGATGATGATGTTGATGCTGCTCTTGAAGGAGTTGTCAAATTTCTCAAACTCAAGAAGCTTGAAGGGGATAATAATAATAATATTGATAAACCAGAATTACAAGAAGGAAAAAGGAAAGATATGGATGTCAATGTCAATGATGACGACAGTGAGAGCTCAAGCACCTAAAATAATCGACCATAGCTATAGCTATCTAGGCAGTAAAATAAGTTTGCGTCTTCCGATGGCCTAGCTAGTCCCTTTTTTTTTTTTTTTATGAACTGGGGGGTTAAAACCCCAAGACGCACAACAACTACTTACTGCAGACTAGCCGAGTCCTAGTGACTCCAAGCAGATCATCAACAAGACTAGCATCAATCCAGCTTGGAGCCACATCAAGAAGACAAACACCCAAGTCCAGATTGTAGCTCCACTGAGCAATATTGTCAGCCTAGCTAGTCCCTTTGGCTTTAACTACTTTTGTATTTGGTTTTGTTTGGTGTAATGTTTCTCCTTTCTATTTGGCTATCCTTGCGGGGTGCTATGCTATCCTTGTTATGGTTAATATATGTGATAGTCACTTAAACTTTTTGCTAGTTTAATGCTATGACATTGGATGTCAGTCAAAACACATGGACATTGGGTGTAGGTGGGTGTAGAGAAGAGAAGGAAGTGCTGTTTTTTTTTTTTAAATTATGAGTGGTGATTTCCCCACTCCTTTTTCTCATATTTTATCAACTTACACTCCTTTTTTATAACTAAAAAAAGAGTGTAAGTGGATAAAATAGGAGTGGGGAAATCATTGCCCAAAAAAAGAGTGTAAGTGGATAAAATAACGAAAAGTCATTATTACCAGGGAGGAGAAAAGTAATATCCACTCAAAAAAAAAGTTCTTGTAGGGTCCGAATTTGTGGAAAAATAAACCTCTAAAACTCTGAAAGAGCCTCACTAAGAAAATTGTTTTCCATTTCTTTATTCATTTTGGCTTTAGGGCATTATAAAAGCATAACAATCTAATCAAACAACTCACCCAACCCAACTCCTACTTTCAACTTTTCGTGATGATGAGTCATGATAGGAGAAAAAGAGTCAAGCATTTCCCACTATCAGTCCTAACACAGTAAAATATTTATTGAATATTTATCCAGAGACTTACCCCCTAAGTAACAAACCTCAAATATATGTACTTCTACAGGTCTTTGTCGATCTTGCCATGAGCAATTGTGGCTGTGGTTTCACTAGTACTGTATATGAACTTATTGCCCCTAAGTAACAAACCTCAAATATATATATATATATATATATCCCCAAATTTGATTAAAAAATCCCCCAACAAGAACATCTCCTTCTTCTTCTTCTTCTTCTCAACCTCTGCCTTGCTTATCCTGCATCCATCCTTCCGCCATGAATTTCATCGCGGAGCAACTCATGCTTTTCATTTCCACTGCCCTCAATTACCTTGCTACCCTTTTCTCCCCTCGCCATTATCATCATGACCTTACTTTCATCATCCACCAGAAGAGTACGCCACCCAACCAAGTCTACGACGCCGCCGAGCTCTACCTCCCATCCATTGACTTGATCAATCCCTCCACCCGAACCATCCAAGTCAGCAAAACGCCGCGCCAAGAAACCGTCAAGCTTGCCATCGACAGCGGTGAGCTGATCGCCGACACCTTTGAGGACATTAACCTCAAATGGCTCTACGTGGTCCAAACATCCCCGAGGGGCCAGGTGACACGTCGCTTCGAGCTAACCTTCCACAAGAAACACAAAGACAAAGTCCTGACCTCCTACTTGCGCCATGTGGTTACTCGGGCTGAAGCCATTAAAAAAGAGGAAAAGATTCTCAAACTTCGCAGCGTTAACTCACCATCACGAGTGGATCTGGAGCACCCAGCCACGTTCGAGACGATCGCCATGGAGCCCGACCTGAAGACAAAGATTATCAAGGACTTGGACAGGTTTGTGAGGAGGAGGGAGTTTTATAAGAAAGTGGGCAAGGCTTGGAAAAGAGGCTACTTGTTGTATGGCCCTCCTGGCACTGGCAAATCCAGCTTGATTGCAGCCATGGCTAATCATCTCAAGTTTGACGTGTATGAATTGGGGCTTGATGGTATTTACAGTGACTCTCAATTGAAGAGCGTGTTGCTGTCCACTGCAAATCGTTCTATTTTGGTCATTGAGGATATTGATTTCAGCGCCAGTAATGCGCGAAATCGGAAGTGCGGGGTTAGTACCGACCTATACCTACTTTTTTCTTTTTCTTTTTTGGGTGAATTAGGTGTTTGATAATTTTTGCCTTTTGTTTTGTGTAACATAATAAAAATTTTAATTACTATGTTGATATTTGCAGATCACGCTCTCAGGCCTGCTAAACTTCATGGATGGTCTGTGGTCGAGCTGCGGTGACGAGAGAATTATTGTGTTCACAACAAACCACAAGGATCGGCTTGAGCCTGCATTGCTGCGTCCTGGTCGAATGGACGTCCACATTCACATGTCCTATTGCACTCCGCATGCGTTTAAGGTTTTGGCCTCCAACTACCTTGGTGTTCAGGACTTGGACCGTCATCCTCTTTACGGAGAAATCGCGGGGTTGCTAGAGAGCACAGAGGTCGCCCCTGCTGAGGTTTGTGAGGAGCTATTGAAGAGAGATGATGATGTTGACGATGATGATGTTGATGCTGCTCTCCAAGGAGTTGTCAAATTTCTCAAACTCAAGAAGCTTGAAGGGGATAATAATAATAAAAATATTGATAAACCAGAATTTCAAGAAGGACAAAGGCAGGATATGGACGTCAATGTTAATGATGACGACAGTGAGAGCTCAAGCACCTAAAATAATCGACCATAGCTATAGCTAGCTAGCCCCTTTGGCTTTAAGTACTTTTGTATTTGGTTTTGTTCGGTGTTATGTTTCTCCTTTCTGTTTGGCTATCCTTGTTATGGTTATTATATATATCGATAAATAATGAAGTAATGGAAGACATGTGCTATAGTCACTTGAACTTTTTTCTAGTTTAATGCAATTGATGATAAAAAATAATTAATATATAAAGCCCCAAACCCTCTCTCTCTCTCTCTCTCTCTCTCTCTCTCTCTCTCCCTATGTGTCTCTTCAGATTCAAAACACATAATAGCTTGATCTCGAATTTAAAAATAGAGGCAAATTAATCTAGAAGAAATGGGGTGGGGGAGCGTCGAGTGGGGCTGAGAGGAAGAGAGGGATGCGCTGGTTTTTTTTAAAAAAATTATTTATAAAGTTTTCTTATTTTAATATTAATTTTCAACATTGCAAGCTAAAAAATAAAAACATTTACAAGGTGCAAATGTAGCAGCCACCTCAGCAAAATCTGGGCCTCACCTTGATCATGTTATCACTTAACAATAGATTTAACGATTAGGTAATACATTACGACATGGAGGAAAATTTGGGTGTCACATTGTTAAAATAAATTTTTTAGGTGGTATTATATACAATCCTTATAGTTCATGTGATATTTGCGCAAAATTCCCATATATTAAGGATGTCCTCCTCTTGTTCACTAGCAAAATTAACCGAGCACTATCGGACGGATGTCCTCCTCGCGCTCTCCTTCTAGCAGAATTGATATGGGTAGATGGTCCTAGTATTTATCTAGAAGATTTGGCGGGCCAAAAATGAAATTTCCTATGTTGAGATTTACACAATTCGCATATTGTTATAGAATTTGTGCTCGGAATTTTGGATTGTGAAATCTCCCAACATTACTCTCATGTAATTTGCAAAATTCTGAGTTTATAGTATTGGAAATGCTGCAAAATGCTCCGTTTTCCATGAGTGAAATCCCGATTTTTGCCAAACACAATGGCTGCTATTGGAAATGCAATAATTAACAACAGTTTCTTTGTTAATTATAGTGTACATACCAAAGTGGAGAAATTATGTGGAAGAAGTCGTCTTCGTCGCTATTGCTATGCAAATGTGTGTGGCTGACCAGCATGACATTGGGCTTTTTGTGGTTCCATGTCTTTTACTAGGGATTGTGGGGTCTACCGAAACCTGAATTTTTTTTTTTTTTTTTCTTCTTGCAAATCAAGCAAACCTCTGTTAGGAAAAATCTGTAAATGTCTTATATTATAGAATCACTATATTATAACACAACTCTAAAAGTAGACAGTAACAAAATATAAAAATTGTATAAACAGGCTTCGGGCTGGGTGTATTTCTGTTATTTTTCAGAGACCCCAAGAAGGCCCAAGCCCAAGTCTTGATTATTTAAATATTATTATTAATCAAGCAAGCCAACCATGATAGTCTTCACTACCAAGCCCATCAGCCCACCAATCATATTTAATTGGTGTCTTGGTTTCATCTATATATATATAAAGCAAAAGGCAGAGAATGGTGAAACATTTAAAATACCAGAAAATGTCATTGATTAATGCAAACATTAAGAATTAAAATTATTAATTAAATAAGGATAATATGGTAAATTCACAGTTTTTCATATTAAAAAAATTAAAATTAAAAAGACAAATCAGATAATAGATTCTATTTTTATGGAATACAACTAGTCATTATCTTTTTTAATTCTAAAACAAATTTAAAATAAAAATAAAAAAAACCTCCGCACATGTGGAGAGGCTAGTGCTTATAAAGCATGTGGAATCTTTTGTTTTATCCAATGTGAGACATTTGCTTTCAAACTTCCAACACCCTCAACTATATATAAACCAAATTTTGATATAAAAAAAAAAAATTTCCACCCAACAGGAGCATCCTCCTTCTTCTCAACCTCTGCCTCCCTTGCCCTGCATCCATCCATGATCCATCCGCCATGAATTATCATCATGGCCTTACTTTGATCATCCGCAAGGAGGGCTCGCCATCCAACCAAGTCTACGACCCCGCCCACCTGTACCTCCCAACCATTCAGTTGATCAATCCCTCCACTCGGACCATCCGAGTCACCAAAACACCTCGCAGAGAAACAATAAAGCTCGCCATTGAAAGCGGTGAGCAAGTCCCCGACACCTTTGACGGCATTGACCTGAACTGGCTTTACGTGGTCGAAAAACATCCGAACGGCTGTGTTGAACGTCGCTTTGAGCTGACGTTTCAAAGGGAACACAAAGACAAAGTCATGACCTTCTACTTGGGCTATGTTGTTCGTCTCGCCGAAGCCATTAAACAAGAGAGCAAGATTCTCAACCTCCGCAACGTTAACTCGTACAATGAAGTCGAATTCGAGCACCCGTCTACGTTTGAGACGATAGCCATGGAGCCCGGCCTAAAGTGAAAGATTATAAAGGATTTGGAGAGGTTTGTGAGCAGGAGGGAGTTTTATAAGAAGGTGGGCAAGGCTTGGAAAAGAGACTACTTGTTGTATGGCCCACCTGGCACTGGAAAACCCAGCTTCATTTGAGCCATAGCTAATTATCTTAAGTTTGATGTGTTTGAATTGGAGCTTGATGCTATTGACAGTGACTCTGAGTTGAAGAGGGCGTTGCTGTCCACTACAAATCGTTCCATTTTGGTGATTGAGGATATTGATTGCTCCGTCAATAATGATAAGGAAAACCGCAGTACCTACTCTTTGTTTGTAAATTTTTATACCAAGCGACACTGGGGAATCGAATTTAGAACCTTGGATCCTGGGCTGAATTTTTATTTTTATTAATTAGTATATTTGATAGTTTTGTGATTTTGTTCTGTAAATAATAAAGATTAATATTATATGTTGATATTTGCATGCATGCAGTTCACACTGTCAGGCCTACTAAACTTCATGGATGGTTTGTGGTCAAGTTGCGGAGATGAGAGAATTATTGTGTTCACAACAAACCACAAGGATCGGCTTGATCCTGAATGGTTGCGTCCTGGCAGAATGGATGTCCACATTTACATGGGTTATTGCACCCCAAGTGGGTTTAAGGTTTTGGCCTCCAACT